GTGTGTTAGATTTCCTTTGTTTCAAAATGTCACTTTTGATTAAAAATAAAATCAGTTTGATTTATCTATTATCTTTTCGGTAAGATACGGTGGGAGCCCCTGTGGGACTTAAAGAAATGATGGTTGAAAATATAAACAAAAGGAGAGTGAAAAAAAAAAGGTAAATAAAAAAGATGTTGAAAAGGGCAGCTCTAAACTCATTTGGATATCGTACATATTTTTGCATTAAATGTTCATGATATGTATACATGAGCGACCTTAGGTTAAGTAGAAAATTTTGGGTGGTTACAACTCAAATGTGAAACTTGTGCAGTTTTAATCATTTTGTACAACATGCGTTTAGGTATTAGAGGCTCTTAAAGGATCAACTGCGACAAGACCTGCTATTTTTGCCATGTCTAATCCTACAACAAACGGTACGGTTGTACAGTTTATGAATCTCTCTACTTGTGCATAGGTCACAAATCTCGCCCTTTGGTTAGTAATGCTTACAGTTTGAATTGTTGTCTAATGTAGCCGAGTGCACTCCTGAACAAGCATTCTCAATCTTGGGTGAAAACATCATATTTGCGAGTGGAAGCCCATTCAAGGATATTAATTTTGGTATGTTGGAAAAACAAGCAAACGTTTACTAGCTGCGAGAAGACAGGAAATTTTTTGGATTCATTGGGCGCAAAATTATTATCTTCAAACTAGCAAGTGACATTGTGCGGCACTTTTAAACATCTACTTAGCTTTTAACATTCTGTTTCAATTAACATCCATTTTTAAAATCCTTATATATTTTAAAGAGAGGGTAAGCTTTTCTTTTGCTTCTTATTTGAATTTTTATTTAAGGACAGAGCTTTGGGTGTTTAATGTGAACGGGTGTAGTGTTTTTCTTTCAACTAAATTTGAGCAGCAAGTGCCTCCTTTTTTCGTTATGCATCAATAATTTGAGAATTTGTTTTGCAAAAATGTTTCTTCTCTGTACAATTTCTTTCTTGAAAAACAAACACAAATAAAGTTATAGACTTTAGTGTTATTTATCTTCATTATAATAACAATAGTTCTGTCTGTGGCAACTATAATTTGGCAAGTTGTCCTCTCACGATTCTCCTTTTTGTTCATCAGTTATGAAACTGTTGCCTTTGATTTTATTCAATTTCTATGAGTTCAAATATATTAAAAATCTTTCCTTTTCAACTGTTCCTTAGAAAATGTTCTAATATATTACAATGTTCTCCAGGGAATGGTCATATTGGCCACTGCAACCAAGGAAACAACATGTATCTTTTCCCAGGGTTAGTTTGCCAAGTTGCACATTGCAATGGCGATTTAGATAATATTTGATTATATTTAAGGTCTATAATGTGGGAGCATGCATGTTTGTACAGTAGTGGGCTCGGTACTCTTCTATCTGGGGCTCCTATCGTATCTGATGGCATGCTGCAGGCTGCTGCCGAGTGGTAAGCCTTCTCCTATACATTCAACTTTTTGTAGATCAACTTTTGTTGATGCAAATGTCAAAGGAACAATCCTGAAGTTATAGACGGATGGAATTTAGTCATTTTGCAGTATAGCATAGTGTAACTTTTTGTTTCAAGTTTGGACTTGGTTGGTGCGGTAGCTAGAAAGAACTCTTGACTGGAAAAGGGTCTTTGTTTTTTCTGGACATAGAGAAATTTTTTACCAAGTATAATAGAAGTCCCACATCGATTGGAGAGTAGAAAATCTTGAGGGGAAATCTAAAGAGGACAATATCTGCTAGTGGTAGGTTTGAGCTATTCCAAATAGTATCAGAGCCAAACACCGTGCGATGTGCTAGCGAGGAGGCTGAACCTCAAAGGGGAGGACATGAGGCGGGGGTGGATTGGAGCCCACGTCGATTGGAGAAAGAAATGAGTGCCAGTGAGGACGCTGGGCCCAAAAGGGGGTGGATTGTGAGATCTCACATCAATTAGAGAGGAGAACAAAACATTCTTTATAAGGGTGTGAGAATCTCTCCCTAGCACACGTGTTTAAAAAATGAATCTTGAGGGGAAGCCGAAAGAGGACAACATCTGCTAGCGGTGGGCTTTGACTATTATACTTGAAGAAAGGAGTCAAAGCAATTCTTTTCGATAAGGTTAAATTACTAATAAAATTAAAAGCTTTAAGATTCCATTAGATGTACAATTCAAATTTATATTTAATAGTCATTTTAAAAGTTTCGAATTTGTCAAATATCTATTAGGCAGAAAATTAAAAGTTTAAGAATCATAGACACAATGACCACAAAATAAAATGAGCAGGAATATCTTCAAACTAATGATTCTGTCATTCTATTTGTAACAACAGCCTCGCTGCATATATGACTGAAGATGAAGTCCACGAAGGAATTATTTATCCATCAATTTCCAGGTAATTCATCATCTTTATTTGATGTTTATATACTTCTCTTTAGGATTGAGATGAGAAAGTGAGAAGTTTCATGTTTTTGTTTGTAGAATCCGTGATATTACAAAGGAAATCGCTGCAGCTGTTATTATGGAAGCGATAGAAGAGGATCTTGTTGCAGGATACCGTGATGTAGATGCTCGAGAACTCCAAAAATTTAACAAGGTATTTTTAGAAACTTTAAACAGTAATCACAGACGTTCCATGCATGATTCATACTTTTTAGGCATTTTTCGATGAAGTTGAAACTATTGTTAAAGTCAATGAACATGGTTGAACTAGTTCGAATATATATTCTAAATCAAGAGGTCAAAATCTTGAATGTGATGTCCCACGTTGGTTGGGGAGGAGAACAAACCACCATTGGTGTGGAAACCTTCCCCTAACAGACGTGTTTTAAAGCCTCGAGGGGAAACCTGAAAGGAAAAGCTCAAAGAGGACAATATCTACTAGCGGTGGATCTGGGTCGTTACAAATGGTGTTAGAGCCAGACACCGGACGATGTGCCAGCCTTCTCGCTGTTCCCCGAAGGGGGGTAGACACGAGATGGTGTGCCAGTAAAGACGCTGGGCCCTAAAGAGGGTGGTTTTGGGGGCGGTCCTACATTGATTGGAGGAAGGAAAGAGTGCCCCACATTGGGGAAGGGGGGTGGACTGTGATGTCCCATATTGGTTGGGCAGAGAACAAACCACCATTTATAAAGGTGTGGGAACCTTCGCCTAGCAGACGCGTTTTAAACCTTTGAGGGAAAGCTCGAAAGGAAAAGTCCAAAGAGGACTTATCTGCTAACGGTGGATCTGGGTCGTTACATTGAATCTCTACTTTGTTGAACTCAAAAGATGAAAAAAAAAAAAGGATTGTTCAAGCACATAACGGGATCGTACTTGTAGTTGACTAATCATTCAAATCAAATTATAAGTCAAAGACATCACCATGAGTAATGCAATTTTCATATTTGTTTTCTTTTCCAGGAACAAATTTTGGAATTTGTGAAGAACAACATGTGGGTGCAATTTTCATATTTGTTTTCTTTTCCAGGAACAAATTTTGGAATTTGTGAAGAACAACATGTGGGATCCAGATTACCCGACAGTAGTTTACCATCAGGATTGATTTATTGTTGTAAGAACAGAATAATAATATTATTTCATTCCAAGCAGTATTGATCTGTTTTTGAAAAGAACAGAATAATAATAATATTTCATAATATTATTTCATTCCAAGCAGTATTGATCTGTTTTTGAAAAGAACAGAATAATAATAATATTTCATGTAACTGTGTAGAATGCCACACGTTACAAGATTTTCTAATGCAAGGAAGCCACAAAGAGCAGAGTTGTTTATACGTTCATGATCTATCTTTTTCCAAATATTTTCAGAGTTGGTAATTTTATCTCCCAGAGTTGTTTATACGTTCATGATCTATCTTTTTCCAAATATTTTCAGAGTTGGTAATTTTATCTCCCATGAACAGCATTTATATTCAAATTATGGGATTTTTGTTGTATGATCTCAATTTTAAAGCGATTTTAATGCAATTTTTGGTGCTATAATTTTGTTGGATTGAGATTCTTATGTATATTTACCACTTATTTCTATGAGTCCAAATGTTTTGAAATGGGACAATTTAGTAGCATTTATATTTATAGGAACGACGGAAGTTGGCTTGTTGGCTTTTGTTTTTTGTTTTTCGAGTTCAACAATTATAGAGTAGATCTAACGAATCTATAACTTTCTTTACATTAAAATTCCTTCGTTTAGGGGTTGATTCCCTTTACACGGTACTGAGCCACATCGAATGACTCTTATTAATACAACATTAAAGATTCAATTTACTAGGACAATGGATCAGGAAATTTATGGCTGAGCTTGACCTTTAAACTATATTTAGTCTTTAATTAATTTTCCCTTGGAAAAAGGAAGAATTGTTTATTTATGGATGTTTTCCAATATAATTATAATTACGTATGCATTATTAGAAGAGGACAAACAAACGCCAGATTAGTTCTTAATTTCTAATAGGAACATTTTAAGCAATTTTAAAAGCCGATCGGATCGGGCTAAATGGACCGAACCGGGCCGGCTAAGACAAAGCCGTTAACAATACTTTAATTTGAAAAAAAAAAAAATAAATAAATAAAATAAAATCGTGGGATGCAATCGTCATTGCCAACAATCCCAATAACGAACAAATAATAAATAAATAAAATAAAATCGTGGGATGCAATCGTCATTGCCAACAATCCCAATAACGAACAAATTTATCACCAGCTTTTTCTTTGTGGAACTTCCCATCCCGTGGGGCCCACCGTTACAACATTCATATAAAAAAAGTTTTTAAATATTCAAATTCAAAATTTGAAAATTCGCACGTGACTTACACGTGCGGTGTATTTTAGCTAAAAGCCCCCATCAACAGCTTAACAATTGTCCGGAGCAAAAGCGCATTTTAGCCGTTTTCAACGGGCTTCTGACGACTGTCCAAAAAGTAAAGTGGCGAGCACCCAGGCCATTTCTTCCACAGCTCTTTCAATTTTTGTCCATTCATCTTCTGTTTGATTCTTCAAAACAGTTGGCCATTTCTTCCACAGCTCTTTCAATTTTTGTCCATTCATCTTCTGTTTGATTCTTCAAAACAGTTCTCAAATTCTCTTCCTTCTTTTTTGCTGATTCTCTCTCGTTCTTACCTTCTTGTTTTTTGGGTTTTGTGTGCTTGATTTCGAGGGTTTTGCGAGGGAGGTGATTGTTTTCTTTGTTGATTTCTTTCGGTGGTGTTTGAAGATGACGACCATGGAGAGTTTGATTGGGCTGGTGAATCGGATCCAGAGAGCTTGTACTATGCTCGGTGACTATGGCGGTGGTGATAACGCCTTTTCTGGTGAATCGGATCCAGAGAGCTTGTACTATGCTCGGTGACTATGGCGGTGGTGATAACGCCTTTTCTTCTCTCTGGGAAGCCCTTCCCTCTGTTGCTGTTGTCGGTGGACAGGTTCTACTTCTCTTTCTCAATTTTCTCTTGATTTTCGTTTCTTCTTTTGTTACTTCTGTAGCAACTGTTGGAAATTCTCGTCGGCGTTCGAGGAACTATTGTCGAGGAGGAGTTTCGGCTTTAGTATTTCAAAGTGGAGTTAGCTCGTCGGCGTTCGAGGAACTATTGTCGAGGAGGAGTTTCGGCTTTAGTATTTCAAAGTGGAGTTAGGTTGCTGAAGAATTCGTTCGTGGCTAGGGTTTTAGGGAGATGGAATGAGTTTTTCACCAATCAAAATGAATCACTTCTGTTCGATTTCTCACTGTTTGTTTATTTCTCTCATGAACAGAGTTCTGGAACAAAATGAATCACTTCTGTTCGATTTCTCACTGTTTGTTTATTTCTCTCATGAACAGAGTTCTGGAAAATCTTCGGTTCTTGAAAGTATCGTTGGTCGCGATTTTCTTCCGAGAGGTTCAGGTGAGGCATTTGATCTTGGTTTACTTCGAATTGCTTAGTTTACTTGTTAATTTACACTGCTTAATTGGTTACTTGTTTATAATTCCAGGGATAGTAACGCGGCGGCCATTAGTATTGCAGCTTCACAAGACAGAGGAGGGGTCGCAAGAGTATGCTGAGTTTCTTCACCTTCCCAAGAGGAGATTTACGGACTTTGGTATGCTGCCATTTCAATGTGTTCTTGCTTGTCTGCCATTTCGATGTGTTCTAAATTGCCTGTTCTATTTTCTATTTGTTGTAATTTGTCTGTTCTATCTTCTACTTGGATTCAACATTTCCTCTTGTTGTAATGTTCTACAGCTGCGGTCCGTAAAGAAATTCAGGATGAGACCGACAGAGTAACTGGGAGGACAAAGCAGATATCCCCAGTTCCTATCCATCTTAGCATTTACTCACCAAATGGTATCTCCTTTTTGCCCGTTGATTCTTTAATGAATGGCTCATTTACCATGGTTGTGGGAATTCGTTCGATCCTCGGTTGCCTGAACAATGTCAATTCTATATATATAATGGTCTTCTTGGTGATCCTTCTCTGGTTCAATTTGTTGGTGTTCACATGTCAATTTTATATATATAATGGTCTTCTTGGTGATCCTTCTCTGGTTCAATTTGTTGGTGTTCACTGTTACTTTACTAATTACCCATAATTTGTATTTGTATCATTTATAATGGTTTTTTTTTTTTCATTTGTTTGCCTTCTTTTATTGCTATGTTCCATCTTAATGAACAACAAAGCTAATCTTTTTGGAAGTGATTAACCAGAATGGAATTTTCAGGACAATCTTAACACCTATTTACTTATTTTATACACCGACCGTTGTAAGGTTGATTGAGTACATTAATATTGAAATGTTCTAACTCTTGGTTTCTTTCGTTTTTCAGTTGTCAACCTAACTCTGATTGATTTACCTGGGAAATGTTCTAACTCTTGGTTTCTTTCGTTTTTCAGTTGTCAACCTAACTCTGATTGATTTACCTGGTTTGACAAAAGTTGCAGTAGGTATGTTTAAATGTTATGCTGAAAAACATTTGGTTCAGCAGGATTTATATATTGTTTAATAATGGATGTATTTTTTTCTTTTTAAATTAGAGGGACAGCCCGAAAGTATTGTTCAAGACATTGAGGTCATGGTTCGAACTTATGTTGAGAAGGTAATGAGATTATATATTCCATTTCAGTAATAATTATTTTGTGATGAATGGTCAAGCCTTGCACATGAAGTTCTTTGGGTACTCAAGTTATGGTTCTTGCGTTCGCTTCGTTTCTTGGTCAAGCCTTGCACATGAAGTTCTTTGGGTACTCAAGTTATGGTTCTTGCGTTCGCTTCGTTTCTGTTTACCTTTATAACAGCTTCATAATTGCAATTATGAACACGTTGTGGTGCTTACCTTCTCGAATGTTAATTATAAGTGTATTACATCAAATGTGATATTTGTTTTTTGCATGTTTTTTTTACAGCCTGAATGTTAATTATAAGTGTATTACATCAAATGTGATATTTGTTTTTTGCATGTTTTTTTTACAGCCTAATTGCATTATTCTTGCCATTTCTCCTGCCAATCAAGACATAGCCACTTCGGATGCTATAAAACTTGCCAGGGAAGTGGCTTGCCATTTCTCCTGCCAATCAAGACATAGCCACTTCGGATGCTATAAAACTTGCCAGGGAAGTGGACCCATCCGGTATGCGCTGCTTGTATTTTCTTCCTTTTTCATCTCTCTCTCTCTCTCTCTCTCTTTGCAGAATTGGAACTGTAAATTTTGTAGCTTTCCAAGCTTATGATCATCTCTCTCTCTCTCTCTCTTTGCAGAATTGGAACTGTAAATTTTGTAGCTTTCCAAGCTTATGATCATGTTGTTGCTTGTGCAATTGAGTAGGGGAACGAACTTTTGGAGTGTTGACAAAGCTTGACTTGATGGACAAAGGAACTAATGCTTTGGATGTAAGTTTTAATTAAAACCTTGCTAAAATAATATTTAACTCAACAAGATATGAGTTGTTAATGAGTTTATAAGTGTAACGGCCCAAGTCCACGTTGGGTGGGGAGAAGAGATACATTCTTTATAAGGGTGTGGAAACCTCTCCCTAGCCTACGCGTTTTAAAAACCTTGAGGGGAAGCCCGAAGGGAAAGTCCAAAGAGGACACTATCTGCTAGCGGTGGACTTGGGTCGTTACAATTAGAACGTGTAACGCTCAGAGATTCAATGTTGCATATATATCCTTAGTTTTTAAATTAAAGGAGGAATTAAAAACATATATATTCTTTTTATTCCTAAAGGTATTGGAAGGAAGATCATATCGACTGCAACACCCATGGGTTGGCATAGTGAACCGATCTCAAGCTGACATAAACAAAAATGTAGATATGATTATTGCTAGGCGTAAGGAGCGTGAGTACTTTGCAACTAGTTCTGACTATGGACACTTAGCAAGTAAAATGGGTTCGGCGTAAGGAGCGTGAGTACTTTGCAACTAGTTCTGACTATGGACACTTAGCAAGTAAAATGGGTTCAGAGTATCTCGCAAAGCTCTTATCAAAGGTTTGGTTATAGGTTCCAAATTTATTGTCTTTAAATGAAATTTTTGTTATGCTAGAAAAGGCAATCATTGTTATCGTGCATTCTTGTTCTTGTAGCACTTGGAGTCTGTGATTAGAGCTCGGATACCCAGTATCACTTCTTTGATTAACAAAAGCATTGATGAACTTGAATCTGAGATGGATCATCTTGGCCGACCCATTGCTGTCGATGCTGGGGTGAGAAACATATTGCTTTTGTTATAGATTGTGAAGTGTGTTCTGATCGTTACACTTTTACTTAGGGGTGAGAAACATATTGCTTTTGTTATAGATTGTGAAGTGTGTTCTGATCGTTACACTTTTACTTACCTATTTCATCTCAGGCTCAATTGTACACGATTTTGGAACTTTGCCGTGCTTTTGATCGGATTTTTAAGGAGCACCTGGAAGGAGGGTATAGTATATAGTGTTTTATAAAATTCTTATCTTCAGTTCTTTATGATTTTTCTTCTGAATATATAGAATGTAGGTATCATATTTATGAACAAACAATGATTTCTTAATTTTCTCCCTCAAAGGCGAAGAAAGCTAGAGATGAATATTTTCTCCCTCAAAGGCGAAGAAAGCTAGAGATTTCATAATTTTTGTTTCTCTTCTAGGCGGCCTGGAGGTGATCGTATCTATGGGGTTTTCGACCACCAGCTTCCTGCTGCTTTGAGAAAGCTTCCCTTCGATCGCCATCTTTCCATGCAGAATGTGAGAAAAATTGTCTCGGAGGCAGATGGTTATCAACCTCACTTGATTGCTCCCGAACAAGGTTACCGACGACTAATCGAGGGATCTCTGAATTATTTCAGGGGGCCAGCTGAGGCTTCTGTGGATGCTGTAAGTCACTTCTTTTAGCTTCTCTTTTAATTGGATGTCATTATTAGTCTTTACGTTCTAGTCATTTTTGAGAGCCTCTTACATATGAAACTTCCATTTAGGTTCACTTTGTTTTAAAAGAACTTGTGAGGAAGTCCATTGGAGAAACACAGGTAAATTATACTGGTGGTTCACTTTGTTTTAAAAGAACTTGTGAGGAAGTCCATTGGAGAAACACAGGTAAATTATACTGGTGCTCTAGCTTTTGAGTTCCTCAGGAGGATTTGTTACAAGACTATATATATATATATATATTTTAAATTTGTTCATGTTTTGATTTGGACTTTTAGGAATTAAAGCGCTTATATATATATATATATATTTTAAATTTGTTCATGTTTTGATTTGGACTTTTAGGAATTAAAGCGCTTTCCCACTTTACAAGCTGAGATAGCTGCTGCTTCAAATGAGGCCTTGGAAAGATTTCGTGACGAGAGTAAGAAGACGGTGATACGTCTCGTTGACATGGAATCTTCCTACTTGACTGTGGATTTCTTTCGAAGACTTCCTCAGGAGATAGAGAAAGCCGGAGGCCCGGGTGCTGCTGCTGCCGCTGCCCCGACAGGGGATCGATACGCAGAGGGTCATTTTCGGCGGATAGGATCAAACGTTTCCTCTTATGTGGGAATGGTATCAGACACTTTAAGAAATACTATCCCCAAAGCAGTGGTTTATTGCCAAGTCAAGGAAGCCAAGCAGTCGTTGCTTAATCATTTCTACACGCTCTTAGGGAGAAAAGAGGTAAATGTTTATCGTTCTCTATTTCTTTTATTAAGAAACTTCCCTTTTTCTTGCCTATTTTTCTGTATGACCTGGGGCAACACCTAATTATACTAATTTTCTCAAACCTTCACCAGTCGTCTGTAGAATTCATGTTGCCGTTATTGTTGAGCTATGTCGAGGTCTCGACATGTAATTTTAACTGTTATGTGTTGAGCTATGCTCGTTCTCACTAGTTAACGTTTATTTGGGAAGTTTGGGAAGCGCAATGCCTTTGAATTTGGGAGTTTCTTCCTTTTTTTTATCGGATTCATTCGAGTGATTAACAATCATTAGTTATTAATTAACTAGGATTTGGTAAGATTTTTAGAAATCATCATTTATTTGTTTTTCCGTTTAGGCCAAGCAGCTTTCTCAATTACTGGATGAAGACCCTGCACTAATGGAGAGAAGGCAGCAATGTTCAAAGAGGCTCGAGCTCTACAAGGCAGCCAGGGACGAAATCGATTCAGTGTCGTGGGCACGTTGACGCCGATGAGATATATCAGACGCCTTGTATGATATATATATTATTAACTGAATTTGTTGGTTTTATTACTATTCTTTTGTAGTCATCTTGTTATGATGTATTTTTAGTTACTGTGATAAGAAGTTTGGACAATGGGATAGATATACTTGCTTGATGTGTATTGATATTGCATCTCTCAGTGTAATATATTTTTTTATTGGCCTTCCAAGTTTCTGTGGATTAAACATATAATAATTTTTTTTTTTTTTGGTATTTTATCTTTAAATTATCCGTCCATCCAACTACAAATCAAGCAACATAAATGATAGGTTAACTTATATAATTTTTTATAAGTCTTCTTTTTATAAATATAAATTTATTTGATTTTTTTACTTGAAATTTATTATTATTATTTAATTAAATTTAATCAAAATTGACTATTATTATTTAATTAAATTTAATCAAAATTGACTATGGGATATTTGTTGATTAAAAAGGCCAGCTCCCATAGTGTGACGGACAATGAGTACAAGGCTTAGGAACGAATTCACTGTTGTAGGCTGATCGGCGATTACTAGCGATTCTGGCTTCATCCAAGCGAGTTGCAGCCTACATTCCGAACTGAGGACGGGTTTTTGGAGTTAACTCATCCTCACGGGATCACGGCCCTTTGTCTTGGCCATTGTAGCACGTATGTCATCCAAGGCATAAGGGGCATGATGACTTGACGTCATCCTCACCTTCCTTCAACTTATCACTAGCAGTCTACTTAGGTTCCAACCTCGGTATTTTAACAAATGGTATTCAATAATTTTTTTTTTTGCCATGTTAACAAACTACAAAATACTTTGGAAAATAAAATGGATGAGAAAAAACTTTCATTTATTTTTAAGGAAAATAAAACATTTGAATTTATAATCAAATTCTATTTTTTTTTTTAAAACAAAAGTTTCTGTTTTATATTATTTATTTAAATTCTCAAAATTAACCTAATTTTTAAAAAACATAAGAAAATAGCAGTTAATAGAACAAAGAAATATGTGAATGTAAAAAATCAAATAATTATCAAACATCACTTAATATTATATAATTATACATTAAAATCAGTTGTTATATGGTACATTAAAATCGTTGGGAGCTCCCACCTTAAACATTGTACTGGTGCTTTGAAGACCCAAAGCTACTAATTATGTGTGATATTCTACTATCCATTCGGAGTACACAATCAAGTTTGACGACACAACGACCATTACCTGCCCCCTCACGATGTCGGGGAGATATCATGGACATCGATCTTGTAATTTAAAGTCGTCGTAGTAGTTATATTTATGTGCAATTCTACTTTCTTTTTCTCAGCACTTCTGGGGGACTAATTCTGTTAGAGTTGCTAACATGTTCCTATTTATCATTTCTTATTGTTGAACATGAGATCGTTGATTCTGTTAATCCCAATATCGGATATCGGTTCAATAGGTCGATCTTCTTCTTCTGAAAAAGTAGAGATAGATGGTTCTTTACTGAATTCATCTGGAGAAAATAAAAACTTGATTTCAGAAATCTTGTGACTGAAGCTACAAACAAGAAACCAGATCATGATTTTCATATAAAATAAGGAATATGGTGAGACTAAACATTTTGCAATGTATTTATCTATTAAAGCTTGAATTTCCTCGGCTTTGTGGGGATATCTCAATCCCTGTCCTTGTTATTTTTCCTTGTCGATCAATGTAAGCAAGTTTCTTATCGAGATATATACAGAAACCAATGAGACAAAAGGAGCAAATTTTGGAACTCTTTTGATCAAATCCCTATAGGGATTGAGGGAGATAGAATGGATGGTTGTTGATGTCATCCGACGGTCTGGAGGGCTTTTGATTATGTGGGTGAGTCAAAATTGGCAGTTTCAGAGCATATAAAAGGAGGTTATACCATCGCTGTTAAATTTTCTACTCGGTGTAAGAAATTTGTTGGACAACAAATGTCTATGGGGCTAATGATTATAGAGAAAACATGGTGTATTGGAGGTGCTTTTAATATTACTCAATGAACAAGCGAAAGATCCCCTTTGGATAGTTAAACAAAGGGCATGAGAAAGTTTAACAAGTTGGTTAAAGATCTTGGTCTTATGGAAATACCTCCTTCTAATGGAAGTTTACTTAGTCACAGGTAGGTCATGATTCCTCCAGCTCTGCTTGATCGATTCTTAGTCTCTAAGGAATGTGATTTTTCATTTTTTTTTTGGGGATAATTCTAGAGTTTCAAGACAATGCTGGTTGAAGTTGTTCTCGGTTTTCCATATTCAATGGGTGGGCTCCAATTCCTTCAATGATACATTCTTCATTGGCTAAATAGGGTCGTCTTTGGTTCCTAAATCGAAGTTGTTCTGGTCCATCACGGTTAAAGCTCTTCACCCAAAATTATGGTCTGAAGGTTTTTTTTTTTCTTCACCACGGTTAAAGCTCTTCACCCAACATTCTTCAAAGCTTTTTTTTTCTTCAGCTCGTCTCAGTATTCTTCCTAGTGTTCAGCAGATTATTCTGTTCAGGGTTTATCTATTAATTGGAATATTTTTATTTTTCTGTTGCTTTTATTTGTTTTATTGTTTTTCAGTTTTTTCTCCATGCTTTTGTAGAGTTTGTAATTTTTGAGTTTTTTAGTCTCTTTTTATTAAACCAATGAAAAGTTTTGTTTCCTTTTATCTCGATTCAACTTGAAGTTAAGAATCTTCCAGTAATCCATGGTTTAAAAAGACGAGTAAAAAAAAAAACATAAAATACCTGCAATTAGACTTAAAAGCTTCAATAATAATGAACTCATGCATCATTTCAAACTCTCAAAAAGGTTGAGACCAATGTAAGAGAGAAAAATGAACATAAGTTAAGCATCTAATCAAAGGGAGGGCAAACAAAATAAACGGAATAAAGGAAACTAAGCTTACCAAACATTATATTGAAGGAAGTTGGCGGTGGAGTGGACATAAAGTTGAGACCAATGTAAAATAGCCATGCTAATGCTATAGAAACCATGACATAGGCAGGCACCGCCAGAGCCCAGTACCTACGAAGAAATCATTGCCCATTTTATTCACCCAACCAAACAATCATTTTACTACAACGTCTTTACTGCCAGGAAACAGAAGTATGGACTGTAAGAGTAAAATATTAGATATGACATCGCATTCTCTAGACATATAACCGTATATGCATGAATTTGTTTATTCACTAAAACAGGAATCTGTTTATACCAATTTCCCATTACTATACTTTTAATCACATAAATTTTCTAAGGAGAATATTGTAATCTTTCACAGTACTTCATAATTATTTTTACTTCATAATAATTGACAAAAAGATCAATATCGACAATTTTTTTTTTAAGAAATCCTTAAGAAAACTAGAATTTTTGAGTCGTGGGATGAAAGTTCGGTGGCTGTTTTGAAGAGATTTTGTGGGAAGTTCTCCATCTCAATCTGGTGAATTTATGCTAGATTTTGGGAGCCTACGCCCTCCGTCCAACCATGTTCAAGAGGAGTTTTGGAGAGAAATTTAAGATCCTTATGGAGTAACAGGTTGGTGTATTAGAGCTGGTTCGGTTTCATGAGATTGACCTTTAAGAAAATCTATAGGTGGAGTGTGCACTGTGAGTTTGAGAATAGGGGGATTCAATAAATTGATTTGAGAGCAAAGTCTGATTGAGAAAACTCCTATCAATAGCGGTGCACTAGAGGCAAATAAATCTCAGGAGATTGTCCTCGACAAATCTTTAGGTTAAATGGAGTTATTCACGAAGCATACAACTTAATGCACTTAGACCTCGATGCAGTTTTAATTTAACTAAGAAGGATGACTTCCTACGACTCCATACTCATAGAATAATTTCAGTTAATGCTTATTTTGTTCAAACAATGTAGCCCTTAAGGGAAGGCAAAATAGTGCCGTTCATAGCAATGAAATAGGGTCATTCATAGCAATGAAGAAAGAATAACAAAGGATCGGGATATTGCTGACCTGCTAGGATAGTAGAAGATTCCAACGGAATGCAGCCAAGAGTCTGGAACATATGCCCAGATCAAGTATACACCTGTTCACAAGAAACTCAGAAATTTAAGCTCAAATAATTCTTCAGAGGTAATAAATTAAAGGAAAAATGATTCAATATTCCAATACTGTTCTGTAATTAATTGGATCCCAACTGTTTTTGAAACATTCCATTGTTAAACTACATAATCAAAGCTCCCTAACGCAAAGCAAACATATGTAGTGACTCAACAGGCATGTACATGAAGCGAACCTGTAGCAACCACTGTTGTGATGGAACCCACAAACCCGTAAACTTCTGAAGGTTTGGGGCCATGTTCTCCCGATAGCCCAAACCCAGGCGCTTTGTCATCTCTGTCCAAGGAGATCAAAGTTCTTCGTTTCTTTGACAGACTGAGTATTCTTCTAGGGCTACTAACAGAATGGAGATCTTCCATATGTTAAACTTCTCAGACCGGATATATATTCGGTAGTTCGAATTCTAAACTATCCTAATCCAAATTTCTCAATGTAGACTTCTTCTCAGCTAATCTTCAATTAGTTTCCTGCACTTGCATAAATTGTATTTTGACTGTGTATAATTTTTTCATAAAAATATAAATCAGATAAAAGATGTGCCAAAATTTTAGGGGCCAAATAGTTCAATTCAAACAGGAAGTGAAGACAACAGTTGATGATCAAACATCTGGATGTAGCTTGCATTTGAAAAAAAAATCATAAAATGGAGATTCTGAACTTTTCATCGACATCAATTTCCTAGACATAACAGGTGAAATCTTAGTCAAGTTATTCCTTGTTTGGAGCATCAACGATAGTCCCCATGACACCTTTTTAAAGCCAAAAAAAAATATGTCATAACCGGGAGAACTCAACAAGGAGAGAGCTGGAAAAAAACAAGTGATCAGATTTTCATGTTTGCTGTGAAAGCAAAAGAACGCGATAATACATATTCCGTTAATCTAAAAATTCTATCAGAATCATCATTGATATTTTTCTCCCTGAGCTGATCGCGAAGACAGTTGATTTCTAAGAGTTCAATAACTAAATTCCAATTTCTAAAGAATTTATCACGGGGATAATATAAAATTATAATTTACAAGCAACGTTGCACAAATATTCACAATAATAGCACTACTATCAACGAAGATGAGAAAGCAAAAAATTAAAAATTAAAAACACCGACGCCGTTG